TGTGTGAAATTGTGAGAAACATGTGGGTAACAGAATGTTTGAACATTCATAGGATGCTTTATGTGTGTTGAAACGTGGAAGTGTGAGTCAGTGTGAGTCAGTGTGAGTGCATGTGTGCGACTGTTTCATGGCAGTTTGGGGTGACTTCAGTAGCTTTGCCTGTACTTGCTCTTGGACATGACTCAAATGAATTTGTCTGTCACGTGCAGAAGGACACGGAACATTTTTGATATGAACGCTCTGCAAAAATGTTGCTTCATAATTTGACAAAGTTCTCATTTTTAATTTAACTGTGAAACTTGGACTTGTACCTAAACCTCATCAGACTCCTTTAAACTGTTTGTTGCAGAGGTCTGAAAGCAGAAAGCTTTGATCTCAGCTGATCTTCTGTCTGAGAGGGGCAGCCAATCACACCAAAGGGTGAATGAACGGAAGCCCAATATGAGAGAAATAAGGGTTTTTGAACAGTGACTGTTTAATCCTATTACACCTCATGTGCATGTCTGCAGCGGACGACTGAAGAGAATTCTGCTCTTCAGTCAAATGCAATAAGAAGTCATGAGCGTGTGTCCACAGAGGATTATCAAACTGTGTGAAAAGGTTTTGTCTAAAGAAGTAAAAAAGGACAAAAGCTCATGTTGTGTTTTGCTGTTTTGTCCCTCAGAGGCAGGCGGTGCTGTTAAAACAGCTGCAGGTGCAGCTGAAGAAAGCCAGAGCTGAAGGTCTGCTCATGGAGTCCCGAGTCCGAGAGGACATCGGCAGAGAGTTCTCGGAGCTTTTCTCCGAGATGCAGAACGATTACAAGTGAGACCCTTTTAGAGCTGTCCTAACAATCCAGGGGGGGGTTTATTTTGACATCTGAACTCAAAGTCACGCGAACGTGTTTGTGTTCGGCTCAGTGAGCGTCTGGCCAGGGAGAGAGAAATCCTGGAGGAACGAGCTGAGAGGAGGCTGGAGATTTTCAAGAATCTCATCAACAGAATGGCTGCTGGACCCAGTCGAGAGGCAGAAGCTGTGGTAACACAAACTTTCATTTATTGTCCTTCAGTTATTGTTGTCTTTACCAGTTTGTTCTGTGCTTGCTGATTAACTTTTGATTTAAACATAAATGAGATAAAAAGAAATGGCAGACGACAGGTGGGTAAATAACAGATACATCGCTGCGCTCCATCCCCCTTAATGCAAACAGCGTGGGCCAAACAGGAGGCCGTCGTCCTTACACGACAGTAAACGAGTCACTCGACTATGATTAGTGATGGTACAGTAGGTGGATAAGATAAGATGACCTTTATTAGTCCCACAGGTGGGAAATTTGTTTTGTTACAGCAAAAGTACAAAGTTATGTAGCAGAAATTAGAAAATACTGGAATGCAATGCAATGCAATAAAATACTATATACAATAGAATAAAATAGAATAGAATACTATATACAATAGAATAAAATAGAATAGAATACTATATACATTAGAATAAAATAGAATAGAATACTATATA